AGTGAGAGACTTTCTCAGGCCAAAACATTTTAGTTTGATTCAACAAGGCCCAGGTGCAATAACTGCCAGCCCTTAGGGTACGGCATTATCCCTTGTTCCCCTAACTCTTGCCTACTTTTCTATAAATGGTTCCTTTGAGTAACTTCAGATTATGAAGTTTGAACATTCCATCTGATTTTAGCTGGGATCCTGACTGACCCAATTTGCCATTGCAAACCTCCACTTTGTCACCTGATTCTGCCTCTGTATCTACTTGCCAGATTCTTCCTCTCTCAGATCGAAATCAAGTACAAAACTGGCTCTACTTATTTTTTCTAGCCAAATCATTCAAGTCATTAGCCAACCTAAGGATTATTTGCCCTTGAGTAGTGTGTCTACCTGACCTGGAGGAACAAATTATTTGGTTCAAAACATTGCCATGTACGCAAAGGGGGTGTGAGGAGAACCAGTTTCCAGTAAGCACGTATGAGAGGTAGCATCCTTTAACCAGGTTTTCATCCCTTTTCTCTATCTTAGTGAATGGCACCACCTTCCAATCCATAAACCATTCACACCAACCCCTTTCTCTCACCCTCCATAGCTATTTCATTCATTTATAAATATTTATCAAGCTTCTTCCAGGTAATGTTCTAGGCATTCAAGACCAATAGATTATACTTTCTAATTGTCACATCCTTCTGCTTTTGTCTCCGTTGCCAATAGTATTACAGCCTCTTAGTTGGCCTCTCTGCCTCCACTAAGGCCTAATTGATAAAATTGTTATGAGGATTACATGAGATAATATGTGTAAAATGCTTACCAAAGTCCCTAGTTCAATAATGCTTCCTATTTTTACTGCTTTTAAATTTAGTGACCTTAATTTTACTGAACTACTGCTGTTAAAGGTCTGACTTTTTTTTTCTTTTTGCAATGGAAAACAAATCTAGAGAATAGGTATAGGGTTATCTTTTGAAAGGAAGAATGATTCTCTAGGCCTTCGGAAGTTAGGAAACATAAAGTAATTCTC